TGCGCTGCCGGGCCTAGAGCCACGGGGGGTTTGGGTGCAGGGAGGACCTGAAGCCACCTTGCCCAGGCTGGGGCTGACGGTGGTGTCAGCGATGCCAGCCCAGCCCCTTGGGCCACTCCGACGCGCAGTGGGACATGAGCTCAGGCTGCAGCCGTTTATGAACTACCTCAAGGCTTCACCAAGGGGGCAATTCTGAGCCACACACTGAGCCAATTCTGAGCTAAAGACCCAGTATTAGACTTGGTGTATGTTTGAAATTTATAAACCTGTGAAAGTTTTGTATGTATCTAATTACGTTAGCCCAAAAGTAGTTTTAAGAGCAGCACTATAAAATTGGTTTAAAATAGCTGTATAGACACCTATGAACACAATTCATTTCTAAAAGCCGTAAGTTAGGAACAGGCAAGAAGTTTCCAGCTGGTACAGGCACTGCCCTCTTGTGACTAAACACTCGAAATACAGGCAGACTTCCAGCTGCAGCTGCTCGGCAGAGCTCAGCTCTACTGAAGATAAACATTGATGGCAGTGCTGTAAAAATGTTGAGTGACTTGTTCTGAGCACCTTTTCCATACTGATTCACAGGAGGGCTCAGCTTTAGCTTTTAAAAAGTCAACTGATAATCTTATTGCAAATGAAAAAGTTTAAAAAACCAAACCCTTTACATTGCAGAAACAGGCAATAGCTAAAAATGTATTTGGCCAGTATTTTTAAGAGTGTTTTAAGAGAAAGATTTTAAAAATACTTAAAGTTAACAGCATTCCTTTTGCTGTCCCAGGTAGGACTTTTATTTATTATTATTATTATTACTGCAATACTCCGGAAATTTAAAAAATTAAACCTAACAGTATTTTTCTAGCTAGAGGATGCATGCAAACTTGGCATCCAGGGCTTCTAAATGGTAGCTCTGGAAGCAGCACTGAGGCTACATCATGATCCTAGAAGGAACTGAGCATCTAGGGTCAGCAAGGTAATGTTCTAAGCATTTCGATTATTTTTTTCCCACAGGCAAACTACAGTTAGCTACAGCAGCTTTTTGTTAGTTTTCCATTATAGTATAAGGTAGACACAAGTAGTATATATACATAGATGTGATTTGATACAGTACAGCAATTCCTATTTTCTAGAAATGTTGAAATTAAGAGATTATCAAAAATATATAAAAAGTCCTTCTGTAAGTATACAAAACAAACTAGTTCAAAACTGTATTCAGTACTGTTCGTGACTCCCAAAACACCAAGCCCCCAAAGAAATGAATAGAGCCGTAAGAATAATATTTTTAATATTAATACAGAAAGAGCACATGGTACATTCCTTTCCAGCAGCAGCTAATTCCGCTCTACCATTAGGGGGAAAAAAAATTAAGGCCAGTTGAGGGCAACCTGATACAATGGTTTGTTTCCCTAACTCGTTACTGGAGACAGCCTTTGTAAGTTTAAGAGACTATTTGTGCATAAAACATGGGATGTTTATTTAGCAAAACATCAAGAACAGAGAAAAAACATGCTTTGTTACAGTGGTAAAAATACACAAAACTCTCAAGCTGCTTTTTACACCAGTTCAGTTCTGAAACCATAAAATTCCAAGTTGCAGCATGTTGTGCCTCAGTATTGTATTTAACAAGCTATTGTTAGGGATTGTGGTGACCAAGTTCATCTATTCAGTAGAGTATAAAGTGCACAAGAAAAATAAGTGCATTGAAATGAACCATTTATGATTATGAGTAATTGCTGTTACACATAGTACTTGCTTAAAATGGAAATCTCACAGGCTGTTTAGTTAAACACAATACTACATTGTCAAGAGCACAGAATCAGTAGCACAGATATTAGAAAGACCTTTACTGAACATATATATTTTTCTATTTTTTCCTCCAATTATCTCCCACACCAAAAGACAAGCATTCTGATGTAGCTTACTATAAGTTTGGGGTTAGGTTGTTTGGTTTTGTTTTCGTAGTGTGTAAGGCATCATCTTTAAATAAAACCTTTTCTCTTTACCCACTATGTTCAAAACAAGCATTGAGTGGTGCAGTGGTTTGTTCAATTTTCTACTGATTTGAACCCCTATTTCTAAACATGATTAGCAGAGTAGGGGCTGAGAGTGCAGTTTTCCTCACCAATTACAAAAGTTTATGTATCATGAAATGTCTGTGTTTTTACAGGCTTTCAGGAACCCTGTTTTCTATGTTTTCTTACTCACAGGTTAAGGCCATTGTTAGAAATACTTAAAAGCCAAACCATGAAACAATGAGCTAAGTGCTATTAATTTATGGGTACATTCACCATATTGGAAAAAAAAAAAAAGAAAAAAAAAAAAAGAGAGAGAACTGATTGGGAGGTTCCCAAATGCATTAAACACATCAAAGTTGGGTGCTTAGTCACAGGACTCTTTGGGCATTATGTTTGACAGCAGTAGCTGCTTTGAAAATGCAGGCTGTATCTTCAAAATAGCTTATTCAATTCCCCTACAATATATGCTGAAGGCTAAAAACACTTTCTTACCCTTGTTATTTTACAAGTTTCCTTTCACAGTGAAATCACTTTTCTGTCTGTATAGTCCTTTCCGAGAAAGGAAAAAAACCTGGAGTTACATTTCCACAGCATTTCATTTACATTGTCAGATTATTTCCAACCCAATGCAGTACATCATAAAGCAATACTTTTTGGCTTAAAAGACGACTCAGTTGTCAAAACCAACTTTTTTTTTTTTTTTTTTAAATGCTATAGAAGACATCTCTGCCCTCTTAAGTGATAAGCAATAAACTAACAATGTAATCATATACTGTTTGCAAAACTATTTACAGTTTTGCAATAATATATAGTATGAAATGCAAGCTGTAAAGCACCGCCTGCATTTCGAAACACAGTATTTGTCACCAAGAAGCATGCACAATAATGCATTTGAACTCCCACTTTCTTCCATAAGATCTCTACATGCACCACAGTAAGAGTTCACACAACTTCTTTTCCATTTGAGTCAAAGGCCAGAAGATTGAAGGCAAGAAGCCAAGCAGTTCATTTACACCCAGCTATTTTAATTCACATCTGCTAACAGAATACGCATCCTGAAAAAAATGGGATTCTTGGATATTTGCAGTTGTAAAAAAGGTGGGTATTTTACTACACATTACTCATCTAGAAAACTTTAATATGGTTGCCAAGTCCAAGTCTCCCCTCTGGCCATAGCAGTTCCAAGGCTGTTCTCCAAGTTCAGGCAGGAAGAGGGTAAGATAACTACAACTTTAGGTAGTATGTAATATATGGGGGAGGAAGAAAGATGACATAAGTGAAAGACATATGAAAGTTAACACACTAGGAAAACCAGAAAATAAATCTAGGGATAGGGAAGAGCAACAATACAGACATTCAAATTGGTCTCATTGGTTTTGTGCTTGTTCACTTTGTAAAGCCTTTATGTTTTCTCCTTGTTCAGAAGGGGGCACCACCTGCAACTACTTTCAGGTCCAGAATCACGATGGGGCTAGGGGAATGAAGAACTATCAAACTCTGTAGAAAGTTGAGTGTTGAATTATTAGTGGGTTTTTTGTGGGGTTTTTTTTTTTGCAAGCCCCCTCTTGCCTTTACTTTGCAGACAGCTCTATTTAAAAATACCACTTGAGGTACTTGGAGGCTGTGGCTGGACTTCCTCAGTATGGAGCCAAGGGTGGGCTACCATACCTATCGCTCAGATTATGTTGTTTTTCTCTAATCCATTCTAATAAATACAAACTGCCTAGCCAAGACCTATAGCTAGTCTTTTTACCTTATATTGCCTATGAGATGCTTCTACAGCATCTGAGCATCTGCAGCTGCTGTCCCAGAGCAGGACTGTATGTAGCCAAGGACGTGCCAATGGACAATAACCCATCCATTGAGAGATACTTATAGAATTCATCACCTAAAACCTCACTGAAATTTTTCAGGAGAGAGTTCAAGAGCTCACAGAAGTACTGAAACTGAAGAAATAGAGCCTTGGCAAGGAGCACAGACTAGATAAATAAGGGAACGTGGAAGGCAGGAGACTGTTAGAGACAAAAGCAACTGTGACACTTTTAATAACTTTCTTGCTCTTGAGAGTGAAAAATTAGAGCATGCTTCACACAGCAGCTAATGGAACAGTTCAACTCCCTCAGCACCCCTTGCTTTAGACACATCAGTCCTTCAAAGATAGTTTTCAAATCTCTCTCTAGTACTGTTCTGTGATAGAGTGTGTCCCAAAGAAAGAATTTAAGTTTTCCAAGAAGAACAAAGTAACCACATTTTCTACAATATGGGATCAGTCTCCACTGTCTTTAAATCAGTGGCTTTTGCAAAGTGGTTTTTCCTCTATTTTGTGACCTCTCCTTCTATAGACATGATCCCCAAAAGGAAGTTTCCCATATAAAACATCTTAGAGTTGAAAATGTACAGCTTATATATATGCAATGTGTACAACCAGGTTTTACTGTATGTATGTATATGTGTGTATATATATATATATATATATATATGCATGTTTGCTAGTCAGTGTAGACAGAAGTAGCTAAAAAGCAGCTAAACCAACAGTATTTCATTGCAAATAGGAACCAACAGACTTCATAGTATTTTACATCAACACAGGTTGTGCAGCTTTTCCAGTTAGGTACTTGGCATACAGTAAAACTCTGATCTACTTTTAGTTATAGTTTCATGTTTCCAGGCAGAGATTTTTAATATTCATTAGTAATCCTGAAATGAAGAGTCAGATATCTAACATATTCCCAGGTAGTAGTTTAATGTACTGTAGAAAAGTCAGTTTTGTTTTACCAAGGACTAGAATCCACTTCAGTAACATTCCCTGAGGCAGTCCACTATTTTATTGTTTTGTCTCAAATTATTTGTATATAGTTGCTGTTCTCTTCCAGGCTGCTTTGTTTCTTTAAAAATAGACACTTAGAATAAGACATCTGTTAACTTTCATTGTTAATTTTTTATTTCAGCAATTATGCTTCCCCTTAATATCCTCTTCTCCTTTTTTTCCCCCCCCTCCAAGAATTGCAAGTTAACAGATAGCAAATCTGTGTGCTTGATTTTCACAAGATAGGAATTCAGATCTTTAAATGATCATTAATTTTTGAAGATGCAAATGTGTGAACTGAAAAGAATGCAGTAGACAAATAACAGAACAGAATTAATATGCAAGGAACAGTCTAAAACTTATCTTACTAAAACTGAAGTTATTCTCTCTTCAGAGAGAATCTATGGCACTAAAAAGATCAAGGGTGGGGAGAACTGGTGGGGGTGGAGGGTAGAGAAACACAAGAGAATCATCATCCTAGGTCCACAGAAACACACTGAGCAAGAATGCTGTGTATCTTTACATTCTCAATGGACTAAGGAGGTTTCTCCTGATACAATTCCACCTTCAACATTTAAAAAAAAGCCTGTATATAATCAATGCACTTAAAGCTTTAAGTTTTAGTAACTTCACTTAGACTTTGTTTATAAAACAAACACACACAAGCACACTTCCTAGAGTGCAAAATGCTTAAATACTTCAATTACAGAACTCCACACGTAGTTTTTGGAACAGTAATCCTTTAGCTGTCCTAGTCAACTTCTTCCTTGTCATTGCATCCATTGCCAGCAACGGTTGCATTAAAACTAACCAAAAAATGCAGCAAATGCAACAGTCAATAACTCTCTACCATTTCTTCAGTTTTCCAGAGGATATTATTCATTTGTATAAACTCATCGTTGGACTTTGATACATGCACATGTAAGCATCACAAAGCAGTCTTCGTGCACAACCTTGAATTTTTCTGGAATCCAGTGAGTGCAATTCTTCTAGAGACATCTTCAGGTATTCACCAACTTCTGGACATGGGGTAACTTGTGGAATGTTAAAGCCATTCTGACCTCCTTTTAATAATTAGGAAAGAAAGAAAACCAGATAAGGATAGCATCTACACATATTTGCTCTTTATAATATACTTCAGTTATGACAGCATCACCAGTTCTTGAAAACACCTTCTAAAAAACCTAAATTCGCCATTCTGGACTACTTGCAAACTTATATGAAAAGTGCATTGTTCAAGAAAAAAAAAAAAAAAAAAAAAAGATGTCAGAATACGTTGTAGCGTTTACTAAAACACCCACACATTCAGGGATAGTGACCTGAATACATACTCCACCTCAGATGCTATCACATTTGTTAATAAGGTGGCAACTGGTAACAGTTGATGAATTTATAAACCAGAAGCATCTGCACCTGACTTGTAAGTCTAAGGCTGAGTTTGCTCCTGGCCATTTTCCATGTCAAAATAAGCAAATTCAAACAACATGGATGTCCAAAGTATGGACATCCATGAGACTGTTCCTCAGCAGACATTCTTAGCTTGCAGCACTAGCTGAAGAAAAATACTTGTGATACAAAACCCCCTAAGATCAGCAGAAGATATATCCAGTGGCTCTCTCATGTGATCTACATTCCTGAAATAAAGTGATTCTTTACAGACTTCAGTCATGCACATTTCAATCACTATGAAACAATACTTGATTGCCTTCTGGTTGTTATAAAGAAAAAGACTAATCCTGTAGCAGTTCCGTTTTTAACAGGAGGCAAGATTCTTCTCTCCCCACTAAATCACATTGTAACAGTGGGGTTCAAGAAATCTCCATGCGAAGAACTGTTACTACGAGTCTGACACTTGCATCTACTACTGTTTTTCTCAGGCAACAGAACTGAACATAGAGTCCTTATTTTAAACCCTGTCTAATGCAGCAGTATCTAAGAGAACACTTATTTTACTGACATCTGTATTACTACAAGCTAACAGTTTTCCACTGATAACTCTAAAGAGATCAAAGGAATGGCATAGATGTTGTAATGCGTGGCTGTTTCTTTTATGGTAAAGACACCTACACCAAGCCATTTAAGAAAAAGCAAAAAAAATATTTGCATACTATCTGATAATTGTGTACATCCATTTAAATACAGACTGAAAGAACACATTTCTGCAGTTGTTTATTTAAAATTAATTATCTCTGCCAAACTTGCAAAGTATAGAAAAATGTATAAGGAGTCCCACTAAGTACGAAGTACAATTACTTGTGTACCATCTACTTACTACAGTATCCAATTTAGGTGAAATTCAGATTATGCAAATCAGCAGCTGCTATGAAATCAATGTGCTGAGGTAAAACTGGGTCAAGATTAGTGACCTAGCTTCAAGTACATCAATTTAAACGATATTAATATCCTCAAAATGTTAATAGGCACTGAAATTTAAAATAGTAATGCACATTAAAAAAATAAGATTAGTAAGAGTAAAAGATCTACCATCCCGATCTGCCATGCTGTCAAAGAAAAGCCAGGCGGAGTCATCCCTCCCGTATTTAACAAAAGCTACATAGTGGCTTGTTTCTATGCAGAGAACAGCAAACAACTCCATCTTCTGGTACGGGATGCAGCCATGTCGCCAATCCCAGTCTGGCAGATCTTTAGGTAGTGACAATGGATTGAATTTATGACTCTGTCTCTTGGGATGAAGATGAACCTACAATTGAAGTGGTATTTCAGAAGAGAAAAAACACCCCCTAAGATTATTTGTTCAGTGGCTGGCAGACAAAGCTAAAAAGAACATTACTGCTGAAGATTAATGGCATTAGAGAAGGAACTGCAATAACAGTGGCAGACTAAATGTTTCTTCTATTTTTCCCCACCAGTGCAGTTCAATATTGCCCTGAAAATTCAAATCTAACTTTAGAAGGGAGGTCAGATTTAATGCAACAATTTTCTACTACGTTCAGGCTTGAAATTACAGCTTCTCATTACCAAACAGCTCTCAAAATTAAGTGGTTCTGTGTCATGAATTTATCAATTCAAAGAAGGTAGCATTTATGTAAAATTAGGATTTAAAGCAGGTGACTGGAAACAGATTCCAACGTGTATTTGGTCCTGGATTTGGCAGTTGCCATGTTTTTAGTAAGAAACTGTTGATGAACACATTGAGGGCCAAGTGGAGTTCCTGGTTTGTCACTGAAAGCTACACTTTACTTGATGGGATGCAGTTGCTCTAGCACTGGTGAGAAAGCCTCACTAAGCTCTTACTCCTTTTTTTTTTTTTTCAATTATTACAGCATATACTATTTGGGTTAAACCCCTGTAGAATAACAAAGACAACAACTTACTTGCGTATTGCATGTTTTGCAGAACTGCTTGATTTTCCCAGCAGAAATATCAGTATCTTCGTAACATTCTCTACACTCATACATAGCAAGCCCTCCACATATACGGCACTGCCTGGGAGCTGCATTTTTAAAGAAATTATTAGTCTCCAATTTGGGGAGGCTTTTTTTGCTTTTTAAGAAAAGGGGTATAGGAAGGAGGGAAGATTATGACTTTGAATGGAGAAAATTACTACATTAAAAAAAGCTAAAACCAAGTTGCCAATCAAAGCAGAAATGTGCCACTGTATTTAATTTCTTCCCTTTGACATAATGTGGAATAAGAAAAAAACTATTAGAGTAGCAAGTTGCAAACCAGAAGATTAAGTTTTATCAAATGCATGAACAAGTAAAAACAGGCTTTTAAATTAAGTTAGTTCTCTCTCGTTATATTGGTACAGTTAGCTTAGCCCCTATGTCTGTCAACACCAGAAAAAAAAAAAAATAAAAAAGCTAATGGCCATGACAGTGAAAGAAAAGGCCATGATATCTTCAGACATTATTATTCATATAATTTTTAGAAGTTCTATGAATTCTTATCTCAAATTTAAAACCAAGTCTCTTTCCTTAGGTAGTGTAATGAAAAATACAGTGGATGACAAACGTCAGAAATTTAGGTCACAAAAGACTGATAGATTTATAACTGAAAAATGCACCATCACTACATGCTGCAGGCTTACATACTGATAATCTCAGGTTCTCTTCTTCTAGTTTGATAAACTAATGACAAAAAGCTTAGAAACAAGCACAAACCCATAAAGACTAATGAAGCATGGTCAACATTGTAAACACCTATTAACTAATCTCAGTGCTACATTTAGCTTTTAAGATTTCCTACCTGCCATATTAATGAATTGTTTTGCTGCTAATAAGTCAATTTTAACACCACCACCTTAAGTTTAGTTGTACACATACTCAAGAATTAAATAAACATAATCAAGTTAGATACTACACACTGTTCTGAATTACAGCTTTTAACTGACATGAGGAAAAAAAAGGATTCTAGCCAGTAAACTTTCCTTTCTCCTCAGCCTTAGCACCTCACATTACCTTGGTTATATATGTAAAAAAAACAGAACACCAAAACTACCAGGAGTACTTACTTTCCAACTCTCCTTTCATTACACAATGCAATGTTATATACTTACTGTCTTCAAGTAAGTCTGTTATATTTAATTCCAAGGATGGAAAAATTTTGTTGAACATTTTGAAGTCTTTCCCAAACCGAGGCATCTGGATAATCAGGCAAGAGGGTGCCTAGGTAAAATGCCAGAATATAATGTAATGAACTTGAAATAATTACCTAAATTTAGGGACATACTTCTAATGCTATAAACATACTCATGTTATTTAAACTTGCAGCCCATTGACTTCAAAATTAACAAGATGAAAGCAAACCAAAATTAAGTCTTTGAGAGAAGCTAGCTAAAAAGACCCCAAAACCACAAAAGTGCCATATAAAGCACTGTCAAATGTCAGAAATCCTAGTCATGATCAAGTATGATATTAAACCACCTACTGGACTACACTCTCCCATACTGCTGGGGAAAAAAAAAAAAAGAAAAAAAAAATTCGTAAAGATTTTTACAAACAGTGGTATCTCAAAATAGTAGTCGTTAAGACAACTTACTGGCAGTAACTAAGAAGTTTTCTTTTAGTAATTCTTTACCTAAATTTCTTTGGTCTGTTCAACTAAAGGATACATGTCATTAAGTCAACCTTAAAATATTTTTCTAACCTGTACCCCTGACCTAGTACTCCCATTTCTAAGATGTCTGCATTTTGGTTTTGCACCAAATCCTACTTTTGTCCCATTGCCGAATGGGCAAATATCTAGGTACCATCACTTCTAACAAAGCGACAGCTGTCACCAACCTCTGCAAACTTCAAGTTGCTGTTGATGAATGACCACTCTAGTAACTGCTGAATTGTTGGGACTCCAACTTTCTCATTTTTGTCCATAAAAATTTGATAGAAGTAACAGTCTTGTACTTTCTGACCTGCTGATCTAAAACCAGATTAAAAAAAATAAAAGAGAAAAACAAATTCTGAAGCTCTGCTGTAATGACAACTGTATTTTACTAGGAAACTAACATCTACCAGAAAATAGTCTATACAACATCATCGCTGCATTGAAATATATTGTGCTTTGAAAAAAAAAAAAAACAAAAAACAACAAAAAAACCTCAGCAACAAAGTGCCTCAGATGACAGGCAATCAAGTAAGTATTAAGTGTGAACTGATTTTAGAAAAACTTATTTAAGAAACAAAAGCATTATAATTTTCAGAGTGTGGTTTAAAAGCAGATGCCTATGCATTACTGAACTATCAATTGAGAAATACTTCCTAAGCATATGCACTGAAAACCCCAACACAATAAAGCAGCTTTCACTGGAGAGACAAGTATGAGTTTCGGTTACAAAACATTAAAAGGAACAACAGTAATTCTCTTCCGTATGATATTCCCAATAAGGAGTTAATAAAAAAAAAAAAAAAAAGACTGGAATTAATGAAACATTTCCTGTTAATCAGGGAGATATTTACACTGCTCCCTACAGTGGAAGTCTCACAGAAATGGCTCCTGTTGCTGGACTTCCTATGTAGTTAACAGAGAACTCTCCAAAAGGATAATCCACATTTAAGGGCTGTCCAGCTCTAATTGTTAAGAAGCCTTCCACACCTAGGCAAACGTTATGAAGGCAGGCTACTACAGTAACTGCCAATGCTAGGCATAGTAAGTGGTCTGGATAAACTTTATCATCACACACACACACACAAAAAAAAAAAAAAAATCTAAATTACCCCAATGAATACACACATCACAAACCACCACCAACCCCCAAAAAAAACTAAAGCCAAAACCCAAGAACTACAAAACCACAACACAATTTTCTATGGATAGAGACACAGACAAATGATTAAGCTACCAATTTAAGTAAGTTTTGAGGTCAGACGTTTCAAAACAAAGTCAAAATTGAGTAGTGATGTTTTCAGGTAATATTTCTGTTACATAAACATAAATCTGAGAAGACGGCTTCAGATGGGTAATTCAACCTACTCTGGAAGGACACAGGAAAGGATACAGAAGATGGTGATCACATTGAAGAAATGGATTTTGCTACCATGGGGAAAAAGCATATAGGAGTAACTGGCCTCCAATAGCAAAAGAAAAAAGGTGAGGTAGAAGCCATGTCATCCCAGTGTCAAAGCTGCTGGGAGGAGATTCCTGGGAACTTTCATCAAGTTTGCTATGAACGGTAATGACCTCCCATCCCAGCTGGCATTTAAGACAATGTTCCTTTTAAGAGTACTCAGATGTTGAGAGGATTCTATGAGTATGATGCTCAAAGTTACTATTTGTCCTTTTAAGCCTTCTTTCTAAGAAAGGACACTGATGAATTACTCTTAAAGAGTTAAAGTACATGCACAAAACACACCGACTTCAGTGTTAAAAGCTGAATGGTGGAGTGTAAATTCTGTTTGCCCCTGTATGGCACAGACATCACAAAAACCTTGCAGGCCAAACTTTACAAAAGAGGGATTTAGAAATATGGAAGACAGTGCAGAAATGTACAAGTGGATTAAGAAGCATCTTCTCTTGCTTTTACTTTAGTCCTTTCAGCTGTGATTTCTGCCACAGCAGCATACCCGTTAACTACCAAAACCTAGAAATACATTCTCACATGAAGATCTATTATTCTAATTATAATAATAAATACTATTATTAAAATTATAGTATCATACCCCAGCTCTTTCACCAGACGAATACATTAGCCACAGGGGTTTCTCAGCACATTGTACTTCACAGAATTAAAGAGAGGCAGTAAAAATTGTGAGGGTTGCCATCTTAAGATGGCAAGCTAGTCTCTAAACACTTTTCTGTGTAGGCCCAATACATGCTTGAAGTTACTACTTGCTGTGGTTTGGTCTTTTTGGGTTTTTTAAGCTAACTATTGTTAGGTTAAAATTTAACCTAAAATAATTAGGTTAAAAACACAGACCTTTGTCTAAGAAGAAGGAGGAACACAGTTCCAAATTCACAATAGGCCTTGATCTCTCAGTCCTTCAAACTTTTTCAAAATTCCCCTACAGAACTACCACAGAACACAGCCTTGCTAGACTCAAACAGCATCCACACAGTGAACTGCAGCACACTACAGAGATGTGCTCTAGGTATGGTGTCACAGGTCCCGTATCTCTGCACAGCGTGACAGTGGGCACTTACACACCTCACGCACCACTGAACTAAAGCAGGGTATAAACTAATACAATGCCTGCAATGAGGAAAGGACTGAAAAATCTCTGGGAAATGCCTTGCAACACTGCTGCTGCCACAGAGTGCAGCAAGGAACCTGAGAATATCAGGTGCCAGGTAGCAGAATGACAGCAGTGAGAACAATCCCTGCCTCTGTTAAACTCAGTTACAACAGCTGAATCCTTGTAAGTGCTACAGTCAAGGATGAAGGCATACAGAAGTGCCAGTATCTGTTAGTTTGATAAAGCCAAACCACTGAAATATTTTCATTAGCCTTAAAGAAGAAATGCAAATCAGTTTCCATGGCTTAAACACCAATTTAAGCATTTAAATATCAATCTCTGCAGCATGTCCCAGAAATAAGTAGCTATAAACTGTAGGCCACATTAAGAAGTGTTGCAGGGTCCTCTCCTCTTACAGCAGCCCTCCTCCAGCATAACTAAGAGGAAGAAAGTAAGGCTGAGAAGTAGACGGCACTAGGACAGGAGATCTTTATCCCCTTCTCATGAAACTATGTTCATGCGCTTCTGCAACAAAAGAGCAGTGGGGCAAAAACCATCTAACAAAAAAAGTAGGAAATCGTGTCAAATTTTTCAATATAACTTTATTATATTGAATCGTATTAGAAATATGAGTCACAAGTCAAAGGTGCTCTAAGAGCTATCTCAGTTTGAAAGGCAGCAGATACTCTCTCCTCATCAGTTTCTACAAACAGAGGAGTTCAACAAAGAAAAAAAGATTCACCTTATTTTCAACAGTGGCTCAACTCTTAGAATATGATGAAATAAAATATTCAAAAATTCTTCTGGATCTGGGGGAGGGAGGAAAAAAACAAGTCTCATTAGCATGCAAAACCATATACATCATTCAAGACTGATTTTAAATCAAAGCTTTCAAAATGTTAACAGGAACAAAAGTAGAGGTTCATTTTTACAGATTTATCAACACAGTAAGATTATGACAAACTCTGAACATTTCTCATGACACAATCCTTTATTTACTCTTTTGGCGTCAAACGGCCCTAATAAGAGACACAGGCTCAACAGGGTAACAAAGCTCCAATAAAGATCAAAAAGATGCTCTGTATTTCAGATGAATCATTTGGCACCACACAACTTTTTCAGGAGAAATAAAGCTTTCAAAAGAAAACAGTGAAACTGCAGAGAAGCAATGAGGAGTAGTGACAGTAACACTTACATAAAACCCACAAAGTTCATCTAAATGAGACCAAGTTCTCTAATCAAGAATGCAGCCAACACTAGCTTCCCAGAGGTCTATTCTCCCCCAACACTGAGAATTTCCTGGTGTATGTCTCTTCCTGTCACTAACTGCAATAAATACTGGTTTTCAACATTTAGCATTTACAAAGTAGTGTTCTCTCAAACAAAAACGAAACAGCTACATAATACAACACTAATTAATCATTATATGCAGCAGAAGATCAAAAGGTTGGGAATTGATTTTTCTAACATGATTTACAGATTTTATTTCTTAAAATACTACATAACCATTGTGACAATGAAACATTGTAGTGAAAAGATTATTCCTCAGAGACCAAAGCGACATTTTGAAAGAGGACAAAGATCCCACCCTTATCACAGTCTTCATTTATGAGGAAGAGCCTTACATCTAACTGCTAGAAGGGAGTTACACGTGCACAGGAAGGCAAGAAAAGAAACCCAGAATGACCTTTTTACCACCCATCAGTGACTCGGATCTCTGGTAGAGGTATTACTGCTACAGAGAAATATCTGTGTGTTTTGTTCTGGTATAATTATACAGCAAGGTATTTCAGTTCCTTCAAATTATGATTCTTACAAATCTCAAAGAAAAGAAAACCTCCTCAGTTACCTTTTTCTTCTGAAGTGAATCCTGATGCAGCCTCAACTTTTTCAAGTATTTTCCTCAGTTTCATTATTTTTGTAGCACATACATATCCATATCTAAGATAAATGGTTTAATAACCTATTAGCTACTTTGCGATCAAGTCAGAGAAGCAGGAAAAAAAAAACACTCGTAAATGCTGAAATCAGGCTCTCAGATCCTTAACTGTGTACAGTGTTTCTTCAAAACTATGTATTGGCTCTTCCAGTTTTTTTAATGCAGTATAAATTTAGTGCAGTGCTCAATGTTCATACATAACCTTTAAGAGCTCTTTTTAAGCATTATCTTACCAGGATAACTTTTTTCTGATTTGTCAATATATTTGACTTGTTTTCACTCTAATTTGCACCACTTAATACCTTATTTTCAGAATGTCACATAACAGCAGCACTGTGGGAGTTGTTAACAAAAAAATATGTCAATATTTGAGAAAAAGATACAGAACTGTATTGCTGACCCAAGAAGCTGAAGTTTTGAACATTCAATCCTTTCCTCTAAAACCTTAGAGAAAGTGCAAAGAATGTTTTAAGCATGGTGAAAAGATAGAAGTAAGACTTTCAGTCTTTTCAGCCACTTGAGATTTCTGCTACTTGGTGTGTATATACTACTATCTATACCACAGAATGTTGGAACACACCAGGCAAAGTACATATGCCCTTATAAGAACAGTTTAGAAGCCATCATTTTACTCCAGGAATCAAAAGAAAAACTTTATGATAAATAGCTCAGTGACAGTCCACAGAATTTCAGAACTACAACTGTATTATTTGCATATTAAAAAAAAAAAAAAGCTAAAGACAATTAATTTTGCATGCAGATTTTTGCTCTATTTCCTTTGTTCATCGTGCCTAAGAAATTACAAAGCTCATGTTCTTTTAGTAACAGAATTTTGACCACTTGCAGACCACATGTAAAAATTAAACTTTTAGCATCCCACTAAATCCATCAAGTTGTGAAACTCCACATAAGATAACACAAATACTTTTCTTGTCAATAACAGCAGCATTAAAAACATGTAAACATGACTGCTGTGAGTGAACATAACTTGTATTTATCAATGTTTTTGTATTCATACCTACACAAATTTTACAATGGCTTTCTGCTGATCCCATTTCCAGAGACTAGTGAAAACATTTCATCATCAGCCGATGAATAACTATTCCTAGTTAGCACTGATTAAATTTACCATGAAGAACAAATAAAAATACTCAAAAAAACCCAAAATTTAACAAGCTGGCAGCAGCAGCTAGACAGACTTTTCAAGCTTGCAATAGGAATGCATACACAGCAGGATCTACTATAAAATCTATTAGACCAGAGACCAGTTCATGTCTTTACTTACATTCTCAGAGGATTCACAATCTCTGTCCGCAATAGCTCTTGAGTCTCACTATAATACTCTACATCATTCTTTTCTTTAGGTCTGAGTAACACAGTGTCCAAAACAGAGCTAAAAGAAAACAGGCTATAAAGAAAAAAAGGAAGGTTGTTTTGATTGTGAAGATAAAACCATTCAGAGCAACATAAGACAAACCAAGCAAAGCCACAGGAAGAATTAAAGAACTAAACAAACTCAAAGAGATAATTACAGACAGAGGACAACAGAGCTGTATTAAATAGTAGAAATCCACTCTAACCCAGCATCCTTTCTGCAGCAGAGTACAAAAACAGTTGCCCAGGCAGGATTCTACAAATAAATTCTAATATGTATCTCCCTCCCTCCACCCCCCAGCCTGTGTACTCTTTCATCCTTCAACCATTTACAGGCCAGGGACTCACTCAGTCCAAAAGGAGTACAGATACATACAGGCCAGTACAATTTGGACACAATTAGCACTTCACATTACGCAGCGAATGCTGCACAACTTGTTCAAACTGCCAGAGCATAGTAATGTGTCAAAGGTTGCAGTGCATGACTCTAAGCTGCACAGTAATAGACAGACAGTCATTACAACAGAGATCACGTGTTCTGCATTTCTAGCATGGGATGCCACTATACAAATTATGAACTTACCAGAATAAGGTGGAGTCTAAGTAACAGGAGTTGTAATGACCCTGGATACCTTTCTTCTTTCCAATCATTGTCTCTAAACCTTCTTTTTCCATTTTTGGAGGAGTGTTTTCTTCTACCACTTCACTTAAGTAACCTCCAAAGGCTGAAATTTTTTTTTTCAAAAGACACTTTAAAGCCTCAAATTTTATCCCCCTTCAGATTTTCCTATTAATGTTTTACAGCTAAGTTGCTGCCTTAGTGTTAGCATTCCTTCTCTGGACTAGAATAGCATTTTATTATAGCCGAGACTCACTGTCTTCCAGAGAGTTAACAAGGCTTTACATTCCACTGACAGTGCACATTAGAGTGCTTCAGAAAGCATGCAGCACTGAATTCTTTTTACCCAGTAGGAATGAAGCTCTCTTCTCATTATAAATGCCCTGTTCACACTACCTTACAAGTATCAGACACTTTTTTTTCTTTGCTGTTGTCCCAGGCAATACAACATGACCCAAGAAATCTAAAATATTTTAAGTTAGTTTTTCACCACTAACTTCTACCATAAAAATACATGCTTTTCTATGTTACTACTTAGAAAAAAAAATTGACATTATAGAAAAATAACTGTCTTTATTTCTGTTAATGCAATCACATATTGCTGGAGTTGCAAATACCATTTTCAGCAAGACTGCTTTACAACTTCTAAAGTAAAAAATGTACAGTGTAACAAAAAAATCCCTTTTAATTTTATGAAATTTCTTTAAATTTATGAACATTTTCCTGCTTTAAAGCATAAAAAAAAATGTAATCCATAGCAGCATTATGTTCTGTACAGACTGATCTTCTACTCATTAATCTCATTTAAGTAATACCTGTACAGATTTTCAGGTGTTCAATACAAAGAACACATTGCAGGAATAAATAAAACCAAAGCCCAGGTCAGTTCCCACCTGATAAACAAGTAATAAGCAGAAGCTCAGTACCTAGAGAGTTGCAGCGTTCTATCTGGTTGGAAACAGGCTGTAGTGAGGCAAACCTGGAATCTGGCCTGCAGCTCTTGAGTTTAACAAAAAGAGCTTTCTTCGGAGCACAAGTGAAGTATCGAGTTCCTTTAAATGTTCCATCCGTACAACCTGCACATTCATCTTCCTGAAAATTCAAGTGAGAATTCACTTGTTTTCTTGCTTCTAGAATTCTGCAGTAAGACATTTGATAGAATATCTGCCCGTAAGTCACCCTTCAGTACTCTAAAGCTTGATATACAATGTTTCTGCATTGTGGTATTACAAAGCTTCAGCTGAGGTGTTCTTTAACTGGATTTACTGAGGAAATTAAGAGCCATACTTTTTTTTTTTTTTCTCTTCCCATACTTAAACTTTCACTCCATCCAAATAAAATTCCACCAGAAGCAGCTTGGGGGAGGTGGAGGAAGAAAGCAGAATTAACCCTAGTCAACAGTAGGAACTTAACTAAGCTAGCTAGTCACTCCAGATTTCTTCTGTAGTTAGAAAAAGCACATATGCACTATCAAGCACCTTTTAAAACTCAATTAAAATCACTAAGCATTGGGTAGTGTGACTACTTCCAGCATGACTGTGGCCTGCACAAAAAAAACACCTTCTTCAGAACACCCAAAACATACATCAAGGAAAGACAACACAAACTAGGTATAAAAAAATAACATATTATCCTTATTTATCTTTGATAACATGATTTAAGGTACCATCTGCTTACTAACAATTGCTAGGTTTTAACACAGAAATGCGTGATAGGCAAGTCCAAGAGCCCAGTTTAACATGGGCATCCTAAGATGCAGTCTCAGAATACCTGTGGCAAACTATAGCTTGAGCTTCACCCAAAAAACCCACACATCGGGGGTTTTTGTAACAGCTGAAATTCCAGTCAGATTCTTACTTACTTCGCAACAGATGTTTATTGTTTTACATAATTGTACACTGCTTTATCTGAAAGTTTATTAAACATTATCCCAAAATAAAGAACCCCATCTCCCTAATTGCATACACATTAATCTAACTGATAGCCAATCACAACCTTGGCTGGCAGCTGCTACAGAGTAAACGTCAATATGTAACAGCAATTCATGTTTGCAGCAACTGTGAATTTACCAAGGACCCATAGGAACAGATAAAGCACATGGCTGTCAAATCAACAATCAATACCAGTGATTATCAAAACCAGTGTTATGACTCTTGACGGTCATAACTGACACAGCCTGTTTGCTGCTATGCAAAAACCAACCAAACAAAAAATTTATATTCAATAAAGACTCTTACAGCCAGGGCATTTTATGTACATCTGCATTTCAAAGAACTTTTAAATACGGTCAGCTTTTTTCAATTAAAATATCCATAACATAAGCAAAGGCCACTCCTTTACAGTAAGTGACCAATCCTACAAATTCCATTACCCATTGTAACACAAAAACATCTCAGAGCCTATTAACAGAGTAGGGTCTAGGGCAGCCACAGAAGTCAGAGCTCATCTAAGAATTTAACTGTGTTATACAACGATCACATGGCAACCTGTTTGGACAATTCCTCCAGACCAGCTGCTTTTGCAAAGTATACAGACACCAACTCTCAGACACAAAACTAGTAACATGTAATCAATATTAATATGAACTACAATTTATATTTACCAGTTCCAGTCCAGCTAATACTTCATTTACGCCAGGGGGCTGGCCAATCCAGCGGATTACTCCATAGAAAGGAGGGTTTTCTTTAACTTCAGCCAAGGAACCTGCTTCAAGACCATGTGAGTTCCCAACTGGGCCTGCTGTTGAGGGACTCTCCTGGTTAGCCGTAGTATTTACATCACCAATGACTGACTGAACGGATAAAGAGAGAGGACTATGTCCAATAGTACCATTAGTACTTGATGTTTTTGTCAAGCTAAAAGGGAGGGAGTGAAATCTGTTTTCTGTAGACACAGAGTTTGTTAAAGGTGGCTGAAGTGGTGGTGAAGAATGCCCAAATCCAGGAGACGAATCAGTAAGTGATTTTGCAGGGTCTTCAGCAACTGTTAAAAATCAAAACCAGTATGTTAGTAAATGTTGTTTGGTTGTTTTTCCCCTCCCCCCCATTTTACAAAAGGAATGACTTAGCTATCAAACCAATGAAATGTATCTGCAACCACATCTGATTTATGGGTGTCCTGCATAGGAAGCACTATCAGCTGGGGACATGTAGGAAGATGTTTGTTACTTGGCAACCCTGGAGAGACAGAACTGGCTGAGGAAACACTGCTATAGCCCTACCATTTCTACCACAACCAACAGAAATGAACAGCATAGAGAAAGGAGATTTTAGCGAGAAACCACAAGAAGATTTAGATTGAAGATTTAAAACTTTTTTTTTACCCCCCCGTCAGAATTTTTCTTTGAATACAAGTTAACAGCCCCAAGGATTATGGCTGTAATGGGCAAAACTAGAATTCATTGGTCAGTGTGACTGAGGAAAGGATTTGCTTCACAGCTTATACAGAGATGAGTAATCGCTTGCAAATGGAAAAGTGTTTATTCCCCTGGCTCTATCACAGTATACTTTGGTTCTAACACAAGGAATCTGTCAGTGTCTATAAAGAATAAAGGATTTAAATAAGCCATGACTAATGCAGTGCTTGATAAATGAGATCACAACTACATGTAATAGCACAAGTGTTCTGTATCTTCTCTCATGTCTCTACATGGTATCTAATACACAACTGGTAATCACAGAGCAAAAACCTCTTCTCCCCATGCTGCTTCATTAACTGAAGTTAATGTCCAAACATTTTAAAAAAAAATTATTTAATCCTTTACTTCCATAGTCTTTTCTGGATAGAATATTTACCTTATTTTAAATATTCTAATAATTTTTAAACAGAGTTTCAAGCTGCTGGAACATTTGTTAGGCAACCAAGAACAATTTTAATCCATTTTCTTTTACATTTCATGGAATTCAGGGATTACTGCTGTTGTAGGTTTCCATTGTACATTAGCATTATTAGTTTAGTATTTACCCCTTCAGTCACTAAGCCAGCCAGCCACACTGTAGAAAAGTTGACCAGGAAAAACAAACAAAATTAATCTGGAAGCAAATCAAGATATACTGATCCTTTAGATATGTGCACCCATACTGTTAAGAATTCAGAGAGATATTTTACAGAAATTCCTTTAAAAATACTGAAAAAACATGTATGCCTAGTCAGAATTTTTTTTCCCCCCTACTTCCAGGCTGATTAGCCGGAATGGCAGAATATTACAGCTCCCTTAGATCTGTAACATTAGCTACAAAAAGGCTACATAAAATTACTCTATACTTGGCTACAAGGAATAGCTTCATAGCTTCCTTCCAAGCCTCAGCTTTTATTTTGCCTACAAGACATATGCATTCCCACAGACCTGCAGATCTGTTTCCAAGAATGTAATCTCCTCCATGCAGAACAAAACAACAGGTCTGTCAATTAAGACAGAAGTATATTTTCATGGGGGTCCCAAGATGGATTTTATGATACAGTATGTCTTCCACTAAGACAACGTACTCCAACTGTTTTAAATTTAAACTCATACTTATTTCATTTGAAGAACATCAATACACTCTTATTTAAAAAAACAAAACAAAACTAGACTATCATCTCTCTTTACCTTCATCAATATACCATGGGGGTTTTGTTTTTGTTTGAGGCTGAGAGTCAACTGATGAGCCATTTAATGTGTAGAAGACTTCAGATCTGTTTCTATTTCCAGGTTCAGAGGTAGTGCCTGGAAAACAACACATTTTACTGAATCTCTATTTACAAAAGGTTAGCTACCCTCTTACTTCATAGTATAAATTTGTTACTATACTTTCAAGAACACATAACTGCCTTTCCACAAAGCAGCAAACTCTCCCATCAAAGCTAACATCGCTCTGCTTGCAACAAGACAGCAGTTTATCCCAAACCAAATTAATCTTCCAAGCTAAAACTTCAAGTCACCAACCTGAAAAGGCAGCAGAAAATAATCTTCAAGTGCAAATTTTTCATTACTATAAATTATGGATATAAGAAAGTATTTGAGATACAGTGTGTAGCAGTTATCTTTGGTTTTTAAAGCAAAAAAATTTCAGAGTAGGCAAATAAATTACTGATCCAATTCCACACAGATATAACTTGTGCCACACAGAACCCAGTTACTTCAGTGAAGCCCATCTCTGCCAGCATCCAATGCCAGGCAGAATAAAAGCTTACAGAATATATTGACATTAGTATTCTACTACTCAAAATAGCCACTAGTAAACTCAAAAGACACTGAATTTTGATTTTTGCCTTTAAAGAAAAAAATAAAAATACCTCCCTTCCAGGTTTTTTTTCCTGTGAGGATTTTCAGAACTGGCCAAAACCAGAGTCAAAAGAAGTTTATATTTTGGGAATTCAGTTTTGGTTTTGAATCACAGCAAAATTAACATATTCACTATTAAGCAGATCTGCTCCTGGGCTAAAAATTTGGAAGTTTCTAGTCCTGCAGAAGGAAGACAACAGCAAACTATATTTATTAAAAAGTGAAAAAAAAACAAACCCACACACTACACTTTCAAAAAAAAAACAAAAAGCAGCCCTGAATTGGTTAGACTAGACAAGAAGGTAATATACTCTTTAATTTTTACTAAACCTCAAACAGTTTCTCGTGAATGGGAAGGTATTTTGATCAGTCTTAACTTAAACTGTCTACCATCTTTTTTATGATTAAATAAATGCATACTAATACTCCAGAGAAATTTAACTTGGTACATAACTGAAATAATAAATGAAGTGATGGAGTATGCAAGGCAATGCTTTTTCCCAAGCAACAGAAATTTTTAGTCTTACATAGGTAAAGAAAAATCACTTCCCATACATACCTGTAGCCTTTGGCTTACTATGATTGAACAAGCTTTTGTCACCACCACCTCTTGAGGTATAGGCAAGCTTGGGAGGTCTCCTGTCCTGTGACACAGTCTCTAAGACATGGTATATGAAGAGAGTATTAGCTTCCCTTTGTTATGCTTTTACTATGTCACAGAGCAGCTAAACTTGAGATGTAACTGAACCAAGGTCTAGCATGAGAAATTTTAAAAACAAGTGGAGCAAAAACCTTGTTTGGCATATAACCAACATTTTACATATCTAGGATTTGCTTCTACCACTTTACAGCAATTACTCTATCATGCACAGCAATTACTTTACTCCAAAGTCTACCATTATTTCTTGAACACACCAAATAGGCTGACTTCACGTTCTTCAATTATATGCATAACACCATTATGGGAAACAGTTGCATGAAATTCTAAACTCTGTTCTCCACCAACACATCTACAAGAAACGCTCTTTTCCCGAAAATGGAGAAGTCCCCATGAATTCTCCAGAGAAGAGAGAATTCATGCAAAAACATGCATCTCAACTAAACCAACAAGTAGGAGGTAAACGTAAGAGAAGTTAGCCAAGTTGAAGAGAGAAGGCAATGGTTACAGACTACAGGCTGTACAAGACTGCACTCACCTGTCTGCAGGTAAAGCACAAACAAAAGTTTTACATCAAACTTTTTTATTTCTTCAGAAAAGGAATCAGGGGACTGTAGTGGTTACAAGTTCACACTATTCAGTGACTGCTGCGGATAGTGAATTTTTCCACAGTCTTGATATGAATCCTTAAGTATTTACTCACCAAATGCACAAATAATACTATCAATATGTTTCAAGCAGAGAAAGAACAATTTTCTGGTCTAAGATGATAGTTAAACTCCTAGAGTAAATTGAACAACATTCAATAAAAGGATCCCTGCTACAGACACATTTATCCTATACAACTGTATAGCATTGTGAATACTATACAATTTGACATGAATTTTGTTCAGTACCAAACCTTTTCTACTAGTGAGAATGTAAACAGAAAAAAAGTGTAACACAAAAAGTTAAACTAATGCAAGTGAATTTAGGATATTAATTCCGCAATACTGTTTTAATCATGTAACTGTGCCTAGGCTGAGATGTTATCAAAGTCTGCCTTCTGGTTAAGAAAGCAGAGCATACCTGGAATAACATCATTGATATGCAAAAGCAGTGTACTTTCCACACTTGCAAAACTGCACAGCTGTATTCCATTGTATCTTCCATCCCAGTTTCCAATAGGATTGTCCTAAAAATAGAAAACCACGTTACATGTATCCCAAGAGAAGATTTATCATACATCATACAGAATGCACACATAAGTCTTTAGGAACATAAAAAGTAGGAAAATTAAAGGTTTGACAACATCTATATTTTCCTGTACCAAGCTTCATATTTATAATAGTAAAACGTTACAGTCTTTGAAGACAAACACAAACTTAAAAACTGCTTGAAAAATATTTCCTATTTTAACAAGCATTACTCTACTGAAATCCGTTATTTATAACCAAGTTAGAACAATTCCAGTGCATTTTAGGCAACAACTACTGCAATCAAGAAAATGGAAGCACCTGATCTACAAAACCAAAACACCCTTTAACTACCAAGTATTTGAAAACTGTTCATTTTTTACAATCCAAGTTGCTAATGACAAGCTTCACATTTTCTTGAAAGACCAAATTCTGTACTTAAAACTCAGTATTTTTTAAGGTATAACAAAGTCAAACAAACCAAAATTAAAGGAAAAAAAGCTTATAAAAATAGGTAACAAAGAAAAAGGTACCCAGCCTACTTTAAAAAGGCAGAACAATGCCAGTCTAACAAGACAAACACTCAACTTGATTACTTCAAGACTGACATCTAACATTGCAAGTAGCTCAGTGGAGGCTCCTCAGAGTAACCAGAGTATTTCGCTTGAACTGTTTAGCATCAAATAGGATACCATTTACCTCATGCCAAAAAACAATTACCACCATGGGGCATCTTTGAACACAAGTGTTTATTTCCCATTTTAGGTCAGCCTCCGCTGAAGTAGCTTGTGGATAATGTTTCTTCTTCTATATTGCATGTCATTTACTAGCTAACACACATGCAAAAGTTATTAAAGTCAGATTATTTTCTTACCATGTCCACTCCAACAACGTATCCTAAACTTTCGTTTCCTGGTAAGACATCACAGAATATAACTGTCCCATACTCTATACTCTCTCCTATCTTCAGAGAAACCCTGGAGTTGATCTCCAGAGGAGGAAGTTCTACCTGCATTGTGTCAACTGGAGCTGCATAGTCACTTTCCAGTTCATTGTCATCATCTTCCACCAGCTCCAGTTTGTCCAAAGCAACAAAAACCCCACAATCCTCATCACATCTGAAAAGCTGCTTGCCTTGGTACTGTCCGTCAGTAAAGCCCTGACCACGACCTTCTTCCTAAGTGTCAGAGGAGGAAGAAGAGGGAAAACAAGAAAGAAAAAAAAAAATCCCAGTATATTTTGTGCAAAAGCAGACTACTACAAAAGCAGTAACATAATCCAGTGTTTTGGAGAAACTGCATGAAGAATTTGCCCGATGAACTATCATTATATTGGGAGAATTCTACTGCCAGAATTTGTGGCAAATATACACACTGTCTATCTTATGGGAATAAACAGTAAGATGTCATTTGATTAGAAAAGCATGTGTTCTTCAGATGTAAAGCTTGCTTCCATCATCAAATTTTTGCCATATCAAGACAAGACTACTTCATACTAGACATAATGCTAAGCATTCAAAAATTCCACTTAGACACCAAATAGAGAGAACTCATTTTCAGAAGCACCAAGGTTCTTAGTGGGAATTGCAAAGAGCTGGGGAAAAGTTTAAAGAGGACTTTGAAAAAGTTACTAATGCAAGCATGGCGCTCTCGTGAATCCAATTCTTCAAAAGCTTATGGTTGATGTTAAATTTGCAGAAATACCTCACTAAGAGCAACATAACAGCAACATTTTCCATTTTAACCAGTTGCCATTTGACTTTTAGGGCTCTACAAAACAGCAGCCCTAAAATCCAAGCCTGCATTTATGGATTGTAACCTGCCATGTGGAAGGAAAAACAAAGTTTTTCCCTCAGATATTTGCCACAATGAGGATATAAATAACTAGCGTTTTCTAGGCTGGAAGAGTCAGGGCATGTTCAAATCTTTTTGCCAGCCCATGCACTTCATCAAGCTACACTTAACATGGTGACTACAAGGCTGATGTGATATGGTGTGTTCACAGGTATTCAACAATACTTATGAGAAGACTGAAGGTTATAGAACTTTTAGGGGTAATGATGCTTCTAGAAAACTAAAGCTATTATGACTCCCTCTTTAAATAGAAGATTTTTAGCTCATCTGATAAAATATGTATGATGGTGCCCCCTTAGCAAGAAACTTACCAGTAACTCTACTCCGAAGTATATCCCTGTTAGGGACCTTTCTTGCATTAAGGGTCCTCTGAAGCGAACAACTCCAGGAAATTTATCATCTCCTGATCTCAGCTGTACTCTAACAGGCGAGCCAATATCTATTTGGACGCCTTTAGTTAATCTGCTTTTGCTTTTAAACAGACTGTATCTTTCCTCACAGTTAGTAATGGCCAAAAGCAGCTCAGCTAGTTTTTCATTTATTTCTATAACATCCTTCTCATCCACAAACAGGATTGCATGAGGTTGTTCCAGAATCTTTAATCCAATCTGAAGTTTCTTGCCTTTACAAGGAATATTTCTGGAGTGTCCCACAGATGAACGGTCTTGAAAAAACTGCCCAATGCTACCTTTGGGCACTTTCAAGAGCTTTTGAGTCTGCTTGTCTATGACACTGCATTCTTGGAGAAGCAAGTAAAAGATCCGCTCTTCCCAATAGGATGAACTTGCTTTTTCTTGACTCCATAAACCCGAATTCATTGTGATTAAAAATTTAAAAGCTGCACAGAAATTTTCAAGAAAAATAAACTGTTGATTTATGCGCACTGATCTTGACAAATTCTACTGGAGGGTCCAATCTTTGTGAAACAATGCAATATTCATTTTGCAAAGAACCAAATCCATAGAAGAAAGCCTAGAGTAAAAATAAAAAAAAAATTTAAAAAAGGCAAAATGAAACCGGGGAGCTACAACTAGTCTTAAGTAAAACAACAGAAAACCATTTAAATCTGTGACCAGCCCCACTCCTTTTACAGAGTAAAAATAGTTCAGCATAATCTGAGACAGCAAACGTCTCAAAACAGCCATAGTCCTGTTGATCATGGACATACCCATTTCTACTTGTTACTGCTGCATATTTCTTTTCCTTCTCTAGCTCCTTGAAGCAATGAAGAAAGTGTAATAAAATGCAGAAAACACACATAAGTGAAAGGAAAAAGAAATTTTAATTTCAGACTAACAGGAATATATACTCTGCTCAAGTTTACAAACAATATTTTATAGAAGCTTTCCATTATGGAGATCTTTTCCTGTGCTTAGTGACTACTTATTTCTGACAGTGTACTGCATCTGTCGTCATACACAACATTTTGCTTTAGTGAAGCAGAAAATTGCGTCAGTGTAACAGAAAAAAGAAACTTTAGTAATTTATAACAGCCATTTCTTTAAATATTAGAAAGGTACAGTTCCAGTAAGCAATAAACAAAGTAGGAAAAACAAATTGCACCAGAACCAAAACAGGCAGTTCTAAAGAAAAATGTAGAGGCTTTTATTTTTATCATTTCAGAAGGAGAATTCAGTTCAACAAAGTAGGAAATGTATCACTTTCAGTTATTAAAATACCTTGGAAGAAAACTCCTTAGTTAAACATCATCTTAAGAATTACAGTTCACAATCAATAAACTAAACATGAAGAACCTGAAAATACTTTCATTGCTCATGGTAGCAGATACAAAAACACATACAGGCATATATATGTCTACAGTTTAGATCATACTAGATGCATGAAGAAAGATCCCGAGTACCTTAACAGGATTTGTTCCTCTTCTAGAGATGACAGAAAAGGGTAGCATAGAAATTAAGGGTGTCATGTACATTTTCCTGTTAGTAATCTGTGATGCCACAGTTTGAATTCAGTTAAAGGAGAATCTCAATGATTATTCATGCATTTAACTTCAGTAAATAAAAAACAAATACTCTTTGTCCTTGTGCCTCCTCTTGCTACCCTATTCCTCCAGAATTTGACAGCATTCAAATACCACAAAATCTATTGCTATTTCTCCTACTCAGTTTGATCCCAGCTTCAGAAACTATCAGAAAGCAATGGAATCCAGTAGTACTGGAATTATTTTCATCATCTGTTTTTAAACAAAACGAGTATTTAACAAAAATTTTGTCCCCAAAGAGAAGTAACCACCGCCACAGAGGACCTTCAATTTATGCAAAGTAACATCTTTCAGTCACTGGGAACGCACACATTTCTGCACTGCTTGCTGAGTCTCCCAGTGAGGCTTCCCTACCACACAGCCACACAAACTGCAGGCAGCGTGCTGCTCCTCCTCCTCCCAGGTGCTACACGTGGGTATCAGTGTCATCATCACACCTTGACACCACCGCTGCAGCAGCTCACTGGAATTATGTGGTTTAAAGTGTTTCCATCTGCAAAGTAATTAACATCTGAGGGACAGAATGTGGACAATTTCAGACCTCACTGGGATAAAGTCTGGTAAACTGTCAATCTGTTTTAAAGTTAAAAAGTATTTTTCTTCATTTTAATTTGATACACATAAATAGGCTTTAATTTTTGTTGAGGATTAACAAAAAAGTCCAATATTGGTATTTAATTGAAATTTAAGTTTTATAAAGGAACTGATGAAGAACACAAGATGTCCCCCCTCCCCCGCCCCAAAGGAAACATGATCAAATAACTGTAAGTTTTTATAAGTCTACTAATGTACTAAAATAGAGTTTCATCCAAGTTTTGTCTAGTTCTCTCCCCTTAATTTTCCAGTCGCCAAGAAAAATCCAGATACTGTCTTGTATACTGTGTCTTCACAGTTCCATTCTATGTTCTCAGCTTTCAAAGGCTGATGCACTTAACTTTCCTTTTTGCAAGCCATTCCACAAAGTTAATCAACTCCCAGTGCAAAGAAGTATCTCTGACATTAGAGAGATCATGAACTTTTCTATCTCACTTTTAGAAATAATTCATTTTAAGAGGTATGTATGGAAACTATACCAACAGAGAAGTCAGTTTGAGAGCTTAAACCCCAGTAATTTTCAATTATTTATCATATCCGTTTTTTTAGTAAGTATACTCTGTTAACATTGCTGCAATATTACATAACCTTCAGGTTTAGTAGTGAAGAATTCAGTGTGAAAACATGCTAACAGCTGCATTCAGATTATACGATGATGATAATTCTATGTATGGTCAGTCTTTCAAAGTTCTAGCCATCCACAGAGATGTTATTAAGCCACAGAACACAGTGCCAAAATGTTATTTTCCAAGTTCACTACCACTGTATAAAATGCTTTCCTTTGACAATTTGTCTACCACCACCGTCCCCTGCCAAATAAAGTATAGAGCTCTAAAAAGCAAATCCTCTTCTTTTAGAATATTAAAAATTATGAAGTACTATTTTAACAGCACAGAAAAGCTTGCTACAAAGGATGTTAAGTTCTGGCAACATATCAGAAATCTACGCACATAAACCACTGATTTTAAGATTATTTTTTTTTTACAGCCATTTTCCATGGAATTGAATATTCTGCAAGTAAAGTATACTTCTTGAACAAACAGCACAGACTTACTGGACTTAGACCGGAATAAACTATTAGATCTCAATATGAATTAACTTGAGATCGAAGCAAATTACGGTTAGCAAGGATTCTTCATTACACTGCACAACATACCAGCAAGTATAAAACTGTGCATACCAGAGAGTACTTGACCATCACCACAGACTTTTAAATGTCAGAGCCTGTTCAGCCACTTTCTTCTACTCCACCTACTACCTGAATTATTTTAATGCTCAGAAGACTTTGGAAAGCAACAGGCAAAACACAGTTATAACTGCAACACCTGACTGCATACTTTGGGGGGAAAAAAAAAAAAAAAAGTCAGAAATAGGCCATAATTAGTTACCTAACTTCAAAGCTTCCCTAATTTCCTTTTTTTCCCCGGTCTTGAGTCACTGTTGTCACTACAGAGACATCTCATCATAAAAACAGTTTGCTCTGAAATGTGAGCACTTTGTTTCTACCCTACAGTAGCCTTAGATGAACTATACCGAAATGTCTGAATCAGCTATCAGGTTTCAGCATGAACACACAAGTCTGTAGCTCTGATTCAGAGTATAAAATGAAGAGGCTAAAATAAATTGTGCGGTTTCTTACAGAACTTTCACTTTAAAATACCAGTTCTAAACAGCTGAGATGCAAAGTTATATTCTTTAACGGTCTGAAAATAATTTTCAAGGGAAGGTTAAAACTATGAGCAAGCAAATTTAATTGCAGCTCAACATATGCAGAATTACACGACTGCAACACAAGCTGTAAGTGGAAAAAGAAGAGAAATTGTTTTTAAAAATAGCAGTTGAAATCTTGTCTGATACAAATAAGCTCATACTGGTAACGTGATTTCTAAATGAAAACACAGCTGAAACACTCGACTAAATTTTCTTAGGTGTTATAAATTCGATACAGATATTCTACCTGAGAGAAGAACAAAAATCATTATCAACTATCAGAACACCCTGGCATTACTAGATTGAGTAAGTGTACAATCAACACACCATCATCACTGTCCTGCAGACAACCGTTCTGTCAACATGATATGCGAGTCCTCTCAGTAAAATGAACTGTCCGTGTTCAGATCTTGAAATGGAAACCAAATCATATACAACTTCGATCGTGACGGAACGTTTAGTGGCAAGAGTGATGTATCTGTTTATCGCCTAGCAAGGTAAGAGGTGACACGTCATGTCGCAAGTATCGACGAGAGGCTAAGTTTTTGAGAATTATCCCCCCCAATTCTGAGAATTCTCTACCTCTCTGAGGGGCGCTTACGCGCAGGATGGGGAAGGAAAGCCCCGAAACACTGAAGTCGGAACAACGGGTTTCCCAGGGCTTAAAGCTGACCTATCGGAAACGCACGGCTGGAGCCAAGCTCGGCGCCCCCGCACAGCGCTGACGGGAGCCACCGCCGCCCCGGAGCCAGCCCGGCCCGGTCCCG